GAGTGTCAGTGTAGTATGTGTTGGAGTGTCAGTGTAGTGTGTGTCAGTGTAGTGTGTGTTGGAGTGTCAGTGTTAGTGTGTGTTGGAGTGTCAGTGTAGTGTGTGTGGAGAGTGTCATGGTAGTGTGTGTTGGAGTGTCCAGTGTAGTATGTGTTGGAGTGTCAGTGTGTGTGTGTTGGAGTGTCAGTGTAGTATGTGTTGGAGTGTCAGTGTAGTGTGTGTTGGAGTGTCAGGTAGTGTGTGTTGGGGTCATGTCGTAGTGTGTTTGGAGTTGTCAGTGTAGTATGTGTTGGAGTGTCAGTGTAGTGGTGTTGGAGTGTCAGTGTAGTGTGTGTTGGAGTGTCAGTGTAGTGTTGTGTTTGGAGTGTCAGTGTAGTATGTGTTGGAGTGTCAGTGTAGTGGGTGTTGGAGTGTCAGTGTAGATGTGTGTTGGAGTGTCAGGTAGTGTGTGTTGGAGTGTCAGTGTAGTATGTGTTGGAGTGTCCAGTGTAGTATGTGTTGGAGTGTCAGTGTAGTGTGTGTTGGAGTGTCAGTGTAGTGTGTGTTGGAGTGTCAGTGTAGTGTGTGTTGGAGTGTCAGTGTAGTGTGTGTTGGAGTGTCAGTGTAGTGTGTGTGAGTGCGTGGGTAGAGTCAAGTGAGTGTGCACAGAGACAGTGCAAGACGATAAAGAAATAACTACTAAAGGGGGTCAATGTAAATAGTCCGGGTAGCCTTCCTCTGACACCGCCTGGTATAGAGGTCCTGGACGGCAGGGAGCTCGGCCCCAGCAATTTTTTATTTATTTTTGTACCTTTATTTAACCAGGCAAGTCAGTTAAGAACACATTTTTATTTTCAATGATGGCCTACCCTGGCCAAACCCGGACGACGCTGGGCCAATTATGCGCCGCCCTATGGGACTCCCAATCACGGCCAGATTGTGATACAGCCTGGAATCGAACCAGGGTCTGTAGTGATGCCTCAAGCACAGAGATGCAGTGCCTTAGACCGGTGCGCCACTCGGGAGCCCACGCATCACCCTCTGTAACACCTTGCGGTCGGATGCCAAGCAGTTGCCATACCAGGTGGTGATGCAGCCAGTCAAGATGCTCTCAATGGTGCAGCTGTAGAACTTTTTGAGGATCTGAAGGCCCATGCCAAATCTTTTCAGCCTCCTGAGGGGGAAGAGGCGTTGTTGTGGACTCCTCATGACTGTGTTGGTGTGTTTGGACCATGATAGGTCCTTAGTGATGTGGACAGCAAGAGACTTGGAGCTCTCGAACCGCCCCGCTGCAGCCCTGTTGATGTGTTGGAGTCGTGCGCAGCCACGCAGTTGTGGGTGGACAGGGAGTACAGGAGGGGACTGAGAACGCCCCTGTGTTGAGGGTCAGCATGGCGAATGTGTTGTTGCCTACCCTTACCACCTGGGGGCGGCCCGTCAGGAAGTCCAGGATCCAGTTGCGGAGGGAGACAATATGTACATTTAGAAGTCTCTTATGAGACTTAGGAGGTAAGGTGAATGGAGTATGATACAAGGGTGTGTGATGATACTTTTTATCAGCTGTTTTCCAGACAATATCGCATAAGATGTTGCCATAAAAAAACCTTTAAATGGATTCTGTAAATTCCAGAATCCAGACCATGGAACTGTAATTTCCCACAACATTCCAGACATTCCTTTGGAGCTCAGAACAGACGGGGATGAACGTTCCGCTCCATGTTCCTGTTCTGTTCTTCAGAAGCTCTGGAACACTGATGGTTCTGTGATCGATGGCTGCTTCACTCTGTGTACAGTAATGGTATGTGAGCTAAAAATGTTCGCAGTGTGTGTGTTTGTCTTTCTAGGGTGGCAGGTAGCCTAGTGGTTAAAAGTGTCTGCTAAATAACTCAAATGTAAATGTCCAAATAAAATGTCTGTCTGTCGGTCTGTACAGTATATGTACAGTAGGTGCTGGTCCTAGGCTGGTCCTAGGCTGGTCCTGGTCCTGGCTGGTCCTAGGCTGGTCCTGGCTGGTCCTGGGCTGGTCTTGGCTGGTCCTGGGCTGGTCCTAGGCTGGTCTTGGCTGGTCCTGGGCTGGTCTTGGCTGGTCCTGGGCTGGTCCTAGGCTGGTCTTGGCTGGTCCTAGGCTGGTCTTGGCTGGTCCTGGGCTGGTCTTGGCTGGTCCTGGGCTGGTCCTGGGCTGGTCCTAGGCTGGTCCTGGTCCTGGCTGGTCCTAGGCTGGTCCTGGGCTGGTCTTGGCTGGTCCTGGCTGGTCCTAGGCTGGTCCTGGTCCTGGCTGGTCTTGGCTGGTCCTGGTCCTGGCTGGTCCTGGGCTGGTCCTGGTCCTGGCTGGTCCAGGTGTCTGACTTCTAATAAGCAGCAATGAATCTTCAAAATGTCATTTATATAGAAGATGACAGATCATATTCTGCTGCAGAGAAGATAAGCTTAGATAGAAAGATAGAGCGGGAGGAGGGAGGGAGGGAGGGAGGGGAGGGAGGGAGGGAGGGAGGGAGGGAGGGAGGAGAAAAGAGAGAGAGAGAGAGAGAGAGGAGGAGGTAGGGAGAGAGACGTGGAGGGAGAGATTGAGTGAGGTATAAAGCATTACTTCATTCTTCTCTGAGGAATGTGTGTTTAAGGTGAAAGAATCCATAGCCTGAAGGAAAGTTATATATATATAAGGGAGCAGAGGGGGTGAAGTACCTCTCACTCACTCACTCACTCACTCACTCACTCACTCACTCACTCACTCACTCACTCACTCACTCACTCACTCACTTCAACTCACTCACTCACTCACTCACTCCACTCTCACTCCACTCACTCCTCTCACTCAATCACCTCACTCAACTCACTCACTCCCACTCACTCATCACTCACTCACTCACTCACTCACTCACTCACTCGCACACGCACCCACGCACACACACACACACACACACACACAGTCTTGCGCAGCTAACCTTGTGGGGACATACAATTCAGTCCCATTCAAAATCCTAATTTCCCTAACCCCTAACCCTAAACCTAACCTACCTGAACCCAAAAACCTAACTCCTAACCCGAACCCTAAACCTAACCCGAAAACCTAATTCTAACCCTAACCTAATTCTAACCATTAACCCTAAACCCCCTAGAAATAGCATTTGACCTCGTGGGGACCAACAAAATGTCCCAGTTGGTCAAATTTCTCTAGACTTCTGGTCCCCACAAATATAGTTAAAACACGTCCACAACAACACACACACACACACAACACACACCACACACACAACACACAACACACACACACACACACACTCACACTCACACTCACACTCACACACACATTCCACTCCACACCTGCACAGATGTAGCCTACTTCTCATTACCTGTCTGTCAAACCACTCCTCTCCTTCTCCTCCTCAATGTTTAATGAGGTAATGAAGGAAGACTCATCATTCTGAACACTGACACCACCTCCCTCCTCGTTCCATCTCCCCTCCTCGCCCCTCCTCTCGTTCTCTCCTCTCCCCAGTCCCTCCTCATTCCCTCCTCCTCTCTCTCTCTCTCTCTCTCCCTCGTCTCTCTCTCTCTCTCTTCTCTCTCTCCCCTCCTAGCCCCCTCCTCCCTCTCTCCTGCTCTCTCTCTCCATCTCCTCTCTCTCCTCTCTTCTCCCTCCCCCCTCCCCCCATCCCATCTCTCTCTCCTCCTCCTCCCGCCATCCCCCCCATATCAACGCCCCCATCCCCAGCATTACGTTCTCTGCTGGGTTTGCTTCTGTCTGTCTGCTGAAGGGACCACTGGCAGTGTCACAGGGCTCATAGTGGTCACTGGGATGTTATGGACCTGCCTTACCAAGGATAACACAGCTGCTCTTTACAAGACTCTCCTCGGGACTGTAAATCCACTGGCATTCTCTCTTCTTGTTGTCGCTCTCTGGACAGTTTCTCTTTCCCTCATTTAGCAACCTCTCCTGCCTGCACAGTGCCTCAGAGACAGGGAAGGAAATACTACAGGTGAATTGATTTCATTCTATGTCCATGATGTCTCTCTCTCTCTCTTCTCTCTTCTCTCTCTCTCTCTCTCTCTCTCTCTCTCTCTCTCTCTCTCTTTCTCTCTCTCTCTCTCTCTCTCTCTCTCTCCTCTTGTGCTTTTCTTATGATATCATTCAGAAGATTGTTTCAGTGAAAGGATAAGTCAACAGGTATTATTAGCATAGGCATATGCTGTAGATGGTTATCAATTCAAACTAAATTCCAGTCAATGTAGGAAATTACAAGTAAGCTACAGTTGTTGATCCACCACCACATTATTGGGTTATCTGTGGAAACGACAAGGAAAAAACATGCCACAGCTACTTAGCCTCAAACAGGGTCAGGGAGTACAAATATATCGGGAAATACCCACCAAGGAAAAGTAGGCTCAAACAGGTAATGACAAGGTTACCCTGTGTGGAGCTGAGAGAAAATGTAGGCTATAGCATGACTTCTTTCCCTGTTTGGAGACGGAGTTCAAAGGTCCTGTATGTTGCTGTGGGTTTTCAAGCTATTGACCGGGTAAGAGAGGTCTTTGAAAAATGTCTATAATTCTCGTGTCCTTGAAGCAGGTCATAAATCAATTCAGTTTGTGCAGAATTCTCAGTTGGCGAATGTTGAACACGCGTTCGCGTCTGAAACAGATCCAGACTTGAAGGAGATGCGATGCTTGTCTCGAGCCAGGTGGCATATCACATTTAAATTTAACTGATTTTTATTCTGTCCCCATCTGCACTGGCATTCTCAACGATCCTTGAGTAAACCCGGTTTGAGTTTTGCTTAGATGACCCACTTTATTTTTTCAAATGAATAAGAAATGTTTTTGTCTTCGTTCAGTTTCAAGCCACTGAGGAGAGTTGACCTATAATCCTACCAGAAATGAACTAATGAAAATGTTGACCTATAGGCCTAAACAGAATATTAAACTCTTCTCTCTGCAGATAACAGGGCCTAAATTGCTGTAGCTAGTAACATTGACCAAAACCGACCACCCTGGCTTCACGATAGGATCTCCAACCAGTAACCATGGCGATGTGTGAGGGACCAGTAACCACTCTTCCAGTCAGTCATCGCCCTCACAGACAAGGCCAGACTCTGGACACGGTGACCGTCCTACTGCAGGACCTACAGGGTCAGGGTGAAGTTGAAGGTCAGGGACACGGTGAGGTTGAAGGTCAGGGACACGGTGAGGTTGAGGGTCAAGGTCAGGGTCAGGGAGATGAGGTTACCTCTGTTGTGCAGTGTTGTGATGCCCTGAGCCCCATGTCCATACCATCTCCCCTGGGGAAATCAGGAGACCCAGAGCCCATGGGCAGTGGACCTACTCAGGCTCAAACCACAACGAACAGAGACCTAGATGAGATGGACATGGACCGTAGGCCTCCCACCCATGTGTGCTGTGAAGCAGAGCCCATAGAGAGTGGACTGACCCTGGGTAAGACCTGGGACATGGGCCCTGAGACTGCCTGGGACATGGGCCCTGAGACTGCCTGGGACATGGGCCCTGAGACAGCCTGGGACATGGGCCCTGAGACTGCCTGGGACATGGGCCCTGAGACAGCCAGGGACATGGGCCCTGAGACAGCCTGGGACATGGGCCCTGAGACAGCCTGGGACATGGGCCCTGAGACAGCCTGGGACATGGGCCCTGAGACAGCCTGGGACATGGGCCCTGAGACTGCCTTGGACATGGGCCCTGAGACAGCCAGGGACATGAATGAGGTGGACATGGACCAATCCTCCACTACCTGTGATACTGAGGTGGAGCTTGGGACGGGGCCTGAGACTACTCCACACATACAGGTGTGTCCTACAGAGTCTGGTCTGGTCACAGAGGTGAATGGACGCTCTGGCAAACAGCATCCTTGTGTTAGAGAGCCTATAGAGGAGAGGGAGAGGCCTAAGGAGACCCCTTCTCCACCCTCCTCTCCAGTCCTCTCTCCACCCCCCTCTCCACCCCCCTCTCCTGGCCAGACTCTGGGCCTTGTTGCCCTTGATACCCCCCAGGAAGGGTGTCTAGATGCCACAGGGACAGGCGAGGGTAGTTCCAAGGATCTGCTCTGTATCGTAAAACACAAACCCAGCGCTATCGTCTTCTCTGGAGACGACAACATCGACAACATCAGCCCACCTAGCGCCTTCGTCACCCAGAGCTCCGATGGAGAGGAATCTTCATTGGCCGATGAGGAAGAGGGTGATGATGATGATGATGTGGAGGAGGAAGAGGATGAAGAGGTCCCTGAGCTGCCGCAGTATAAGGAGTTCCTGGTCAGCCGTCGCCGTAGAAACTTGAGCAGGAACAGGAAGGGGCTGAGGAAAGGACAGGAACTCCCGCCCACTGGCTCTCTGATTGGCCTGGGCTGCACCAATAAGACCAGCTCAAAGGCCAAGGAGGAAGAGGAGGAGGAAGAAGAGGCTGAAAGAAAACAGGTGAGAAAAGCAGTACTACTCTTCACCACTAGAGTGCGTCATTATTGCATTTCTCTCACTGAAATAACTGTCTTTCTAGGATTGTTGTGTGTGTGTGTGAGAGAGAGAGAGAGAGAGAGAGAGAGAGAGAGAGAGAGAGAGAGGAGAGAGAAGAGGAGAGAGAGAGGAGAGAGAGAGGAGAGAGAGAGAGAGGGAGAGGAGAGATAGAGAGAGAGATAGAGAGAGAAAGACGCAGAGACGACGGAAGAGCGAGAGATAGAGAGCATATAGCGACGCGAGAGAGGTCGATAAATATCCAAGAGAGAGTTTTGGCAGGCATGCCCGAATTCCACTAATCTTTTCTCTGGTTAGCCCTGGCATACCCAGCTCCCAGCCTGCATTGTGCCAGTAGGCGTTTGTGAGTATGAGCGTGCTCCTGACCACGTTCTCACACCTGTCAGCGAGGCCTGGCCGGGGTTCCTGGCATGTTCTCCTAACGTTCCACTGGCAGGTTCTCCTAGAACTGTTCTCTTAGCGTTCCACTGGCAGGTTCTCCTAGAACTGTTCTCTTAACGTTTGCCTGGTCAAAAGTAGTGCACTATAGGGAATAGGGTGTCATTTCAGATGCAGACCCAAGTTTTAAAGTCACTGATTGACAGAGTGAAGAGAACACTGTTCGTGTCTGGGGGTAGAGCAATAGCTGTATATGGACAACGCCATCGATCACGTGACACCAGACATTCCTATGTGAAGACTCAATAGTGCATTTATGCCAAATGAAGTCAGTTAAAGATGGTGTCTCATGAAGCGCAGTTTGAGCTACTCCGGGAAGTGATGCTGCAGGCTAGCTCAGTGCTGCCCCTCTAATTGAGTATCTCAAGTTGAAGGCTGACTGGGGTACTGCAGGCTGCCATTAGCAGCTAAATTATCCTTATAACTTCTTCTGTATAATAAGTTCAAGGACATACATCTGGTGTATTAGAAGCAATTATTGGTACCAAGATTGAACACGAAGATTGACATTTTTCCACTCACTATAACGTGAGATCCTGTTTTCTGATAACAATGACCGCAGTACCGCGGTCGGCCATGAACTTCCGTGGCTTCATTGAGAGGGAGTAGTCGTTCTCCTCTGGGGCAGAGCTACAGCCAGGTCCACATTCTTAAAAAAAAAATTGTAGGTATTTTACCCCCTTTTTCTCCCCAATTTCGTGTATCCAATTGGTAGTTACAGTCTTTGTCCCATCGCTGCAACTCCCGTACGGACACGGGAGAGGCGAAGGTCGAGAGTCGTGTGTCCTCCGAAAACACAACCCAACCGAGCCGCACTGCTTCTTGACACAGTGCCCGCTTAACCCGGAAGCAAGCCGCACCAATGTGTCGGAGGAAACACCGTCCACCTGGCGACCGAGTCAGCGTGCACTGCGCCCGGCCCGCCACAGTGGTCGCTAGAGCACGATGGGACAAGGACATCCCTGCCGGCCAAACCCTCCGCCCCATGGGTCTCCCGGTCGATGCCAACTGCGACAGAGCCTGGACTCGAACCAGGATCTCTAGTGGCACAGCTAGCACTGCGCCACTCGGGAGGCTCAGGCCCACATTCTTATGATGTCTGTTACTCTGTTATGGTGATCCATTTCTGTTACGATGACTAGTAAGGGTGAAATCAGTTTAAGAAGGGTAGTCAGTAAAGAAGGGTTAGTAAATAAGACATGGAAAGCTGGCTGGTTCAGTGGAATATTAGGGTTAGGCAGTTCAATTGATAGTAAATGTCAATCTGGACATTGTATTGTGGTGAATCACTCTGTCTCTCCGTGACCTTATGACCTTTAGGGTTCAGAGGTCAACTGTGACTCACTCAGATTAGGGGTCACTCCCTCTGGTCAGTCAGGATCCCCAGCGTAGTCTGTGTGTGTGTGCGCATGCATGCATGTGCCAGTGTGTGGTGAATCTGTCCGAAACCTCTCCCTCCCTCCCTCCCTCCATCCCTCCATCCCTCCCTCTCTCCCTCCCTCTCTCTCTCCAGAGGAAGTAAACAAGAGTAGTTCTGGATATTACAGTGTTGTTTGGCCTCCAGGGATCAGTGACACAATATTACAGTGTTAGTTTGGCCTCCAGGGATCATAACCCATGTTCCCTCCTCCCCCACCCCTTCCCCATAACCAATGTTCCCTCCCTCCCCCCCACCCCTTCCCCATAACCAATGTTCCCTCCTCCCCCACCCCTTCCCCATAACCAATGTTCCCTCCTCCCCCACCCCTTCCCCATAACCAATGTTCCCTCCTCCCCCACCCCTTCCCCATAACCCATGTTCCCTCCTCCCCCACCCCTTCCCCATAACCCATGTTCCCTCCTCCCCCCATCCCTTCCCCATAACCAATGTTCCCTCCTCCCCCACCCCTCCCCCACCCCTTCCCCATAACCCATGTTCCCTCCTCCCCCACCCCTTCCCCATAACCCCATGTTCCCTCCTCCCCCACCCCTTCCCCATAACCCATGTTCCCTTCCTCCCCCACCCCTTCCCCAAACCAATGTTCCCTCCTCCCCCCTCCCCCCACCACTTCCCCCATAACCAATGTTCCCTCCTCCCCCCACCCCTTCCCCATAACCAATGTTCCCTCCTCCCCCACCCCTTCTCCATAACTCATGTTCCCTCCTTCCCAGCCTCCCGTGTTCTCCAGTCACCGCACAGCCCCCCTAGCCCCACCCAGTGTCCCCTCCCAGTGCCCAGACCCGAGCCAGGGGACGTTGTGTACCCCTCTGGGGTGTAGGGTTGAAGGGACACCTCCTGAATGAGAGGATTGTGGGAGGGAAAGAGAGAGGAATTTGATGCAGTGTAGAGTGACAGAGAGATGGAGAGAGAGAGAGATCTTACTCTAACGGTGATGTTGATGATTTGTTTTGAACACTTCATTTCTATTACCTTTTCTCTCTCTCTCCAGGCCCTGATTGGTCACACTCCTGACTGACTGAGGTACTTGTCCTCCAGGAAATGAATACGCTTCTTTGTTTCAATCCCAGAGTTCTTAGGGGCAGATAGAAGCACATAGGGTCTCTTTGAGGAGCTGCTTCACACACACACACACACACATACACACACACACACACACACACACGCACGCACACACACACACACACACCCACACACACACACACACACCACACACACACACACACACACACACACACACACACACACACACACACACACACACACACACACTCACAGTACCCCTCGTCCCCAGCCCTACTACTCTGATCGTGTCGACCATTTTGTGAAATATCTTCATTTATGATTTGGCAGTAAAGTCATTTCCTGTGAGCCTACGACCCCAGATCTCCAGATTCCTACAGAGACACAGAGGACCGACTCTGTACTGTGGACGCTATTTATAACCTGCTGGTGAAGAGGAGAGGGGGAGTGTGGGGTGGGGTGAGGTGAGGGAGGCGTGGGGAGAAAGAGAGTGGAAGAGAGAGAAGAGAGAGGAGTGAGGGAGAGGGTGACGAGGGGAGGTGAGGGAGAGAGGTTGACGAGGAGGGGTGATGGGAGAGAGGGTGACGAGGGGGTTGAGGTGGAGAGGGTGACGAGAGGGGGTGAGGGAGTAAGGTGACGAGAGGGGTGGGGAGAAGGGTGACGAGAGTGGGTGAGGGAGAAGGGTGACGGAGAGGGGTGAGGAGAGGGGTGACGAGAGGGGTGGGGAGAGAGGGTTGACGAGGGGGGTAGGGAGAGTAGGTGTGAGGGAGGGGAGAAGACAATGGTAACACACACACTCTGTCTCATGCACTACTACTGACCCACACTGCATCCCTTTCATAGTTTATGAAATGTTAATGTGTGTTCCTCCAACCTCAGTTTATCCACAGAGGGCTCTGTATGCATCAGTGTGTTTCAACTGTAGTTTCATACCAGCCTCCTCTACCAGTCTCCTCTATCAGCCTCCTCTACCAGCCTCCTCTACCAGCCTCCTCTACCAGCCTCCTCTACCAGTCTCCTCTACCAGTCTCCTCTACCAGCCTCCTCTACCAGCCTCCTCTACCAGCCTCCTCTACCAGCCTCCTCTACCACCTCCTCTACCATCCCCCTCTACCAGTCTCCTCTACCAGTCTCCTCTACCAACCTCCTCTACCAGCCTCCTCTCCCAGCCTCTTCTACCAGTCTCCTCTACCAGTCTCCTCTACCAGCCTCCTCTACCAACCTCCTCTACCAGTCTCCTCTACCAGCCTCCTCTACCAGTCTCCTCTACCTGCCTCCTCTACCAGTCTCCTCTACCAGCCTCCTCTACCAGTCTCCTCTGTTTACATTGTGTATGTCCCACCCTGTGTTTGTGTCGGCATGTGCCAGGCTTTTTTTGGGGCCTAATCTTGTCACTTTATAATGTGTGTGTGTGTGTGTGTGTGTGTGTGTGTGTGTGTGTGTGTGTGTGTGTGTGTGTGTGTGTGTGTGTGTGTGTCTCTGGCCCAGGCACGGTCCCCGTGGTGTGACTCTATGAGTCAGCTGATGAGGAAGTTGGATCAGCTCAATCTGGACATACAGGAAGCACTCAGCGCCGCTAGCTCCTCCCACTCTGACAACGACAAACCAGAAACAAAACAACCAGAACCGGTAAGTCAGATTGAACACAGACATACAGTACAGTTAGTCAGATAGAACACAGACATACAGTCAGATAGAACACAATCAGACAGTCAGATAGAACACAGACATACAGTCAGATAGAACACAGACATACAGTCAGATAGAACACAGACATACAGTCAGATAGAACACAGACATACAGTCAGATAGAACACAGACATACAGTCAGATAGAACACAGACAGACAGTCAGATAGAACACAGACATACAGTCAGATAGAACACCGACATACAGTACAGTTAGTCAGATTGAACACAGACATACAGTCAGATAGAACACAGACATACAGTCAGATAGAACACAGACATACAGTCAGATAGAACACAGACATACAGTCAGATAGAACACAGACAGACAGTCAGATAGAACACAGACAGACAGTCAGATAGAACACAGACAGACAGTCAGATAGAACACAGACAGACAGTCAGATAGAACACAGACATACAGTCAGATAGAACACAGACATACAGTCAGATAGAACACAGACATACAGTCAGATAGAACACAGACAGACAGTCAGATAGAACACAGACATACAGTCAGATAGAACACAGACATACAGTCAGATAGAACACAGACATACAGTCAGATAGAACACAGACAGACAGTCAGATAGAACACAGACAGACAGTCAGATAGAACACAGACAGACAGTCAGATAGAACACAGACAGACAGTCAGATAGAACACAGACATACAGTCAGATAGAACACAGACATACAGTCAGATAGAACACAGACATACAGTCAGATAGAACAAAGACAGACAGTCAGATAGAACACAGACATACAGTACAGTTAGTCAGATTGAACACAGACATACAGTCAGATAGAACACAGACAGACAGTCAGATAGAACACAATCAGACAGTCAGATAGAACACAGACAGACAGTCAGATAGAACACAGACAGACAGTCAGAACACAGACATACAGTCAGATAGAACACAGACATACAGTCAGATAGAACACAGACAGACAGTCAGATAGAACACAGACATACAGTCAGATAGAACACAATCAGACAGTCAGATAGAACACAGACAGACAGTCAGATAGAACACAGACAGACAGTCAGATAGAACACAGACAGACAGTCAGATAGAACACAGACATACAGTCAGATAGAACACAGACAGACAGTCAGATAGAACACAGACAGACAGTCAGATAGAACACAGACATACAGTCAGATAGAACACAGACATACAGTCAGATAGAACACAGACAGACAGTCAGATAGAACACAGACATACAGTCAGATAGAACACAGACAGACAGTCAGATAGAACACAGACAGACAGTCAGATAGAACACAGACATACAGTCAGATAGAACACAGACAGACAGTCAGATAGAACACAGACAGACAGTCAGATAGAACACAGACATACAGTCAGATAGAACACAGACATACAGTCAGATAGAACATAGACAGACAGTCAGATAGAACACAGACAGACAGTCAGATAGAACACAGACATACAGTCAGATAGAACACAGACAGACAGTCAGATAGAACACAGACAGACAGTCAGATAGAACACAGACATACAGTCATATAGAACACAGACATACAGTCAGATAGAACACAGAAATACAGTCAGATAGAACACAGACAGACAGTCAGATAGAACACAGACACAGTCAGATAGAACACAGACATACAGTCAGATAGAACACAATCAGACAGTCAGATAGAACACAGACAGACAGTCAGATAGAACACAGACAGACAGTCAGAAAACAACAGTCAGAATCCAGATAACACAGACATACAGTCAGATAGAACACAGACATACAGTCAGATAGAACACAGACAGACAGTCAGATAGAACACAGACATACAGTCAGATAGAACACAGACATACAGTCAGATTGAACACAGACATACAGTCAGATAGAACACAGACAGACAGTCAGATAGAACACAGACATACAGTCAGATAGAACACAGACATACAGTCAGATAGAACACAGACAGACAGTCAGATAGAACACAGACAGACAGTCAGATAGAACACAGACATACAGTCAGATAGAACACAGACATACAGTCAGATTGAACACAGACATACAGTCAGATAGAACACAGACATACAGTCAGATAGAACACAGACATACAGTCAGATAGAACACAGACATACAGTCAGATAGAACACAGACAGACAGTCAGATAGAACACAGACAGACAGTCAGATAGAACACAGACAGACAGTCAGATAGAACAAAGACAGACAGTCAGATTGAACACAGACAGACAGTCAGATAGAACACAGACAGACAGTCAGATAGAACACAGACAGACAGTCAGATAGAACACAGACAGACAGTCAGATAGAACACAGACATACAGTCAGATAGAACACAGACAGACAGTCAGATAGAACACAGACATACAGTCAGATAGAACACAGACAGACAGTCAGATAGAACACAGACATACAGTCAGATAGAACACAGACAGACAGTTAGATAGAACACAGACAGACAGTCAGATAGAACACAGACAGACAGTCAGATAGAACACAGACAGACAGTCAGAACACAGACATACAGTCAGATAGAACACAGACATACAGTCAGATAGAACACAGACATACAGTCAGATAGAACACAGACATACAGTCAGATAGAACACAGACAGACAGTCAGATAGAACACAGACAGACAGTCAGATAGAACACAGACATACAGTCAGATAGAACACAGACATACAGTCAGATAGAACACAGACATACAGTCAGATAGAACACAGACAGACAGTCAGATAGAACACAGACAGTCAGATAGAACACAGACATACAGTCAGATAGAACACAGACATACAGTCAGATAGAACACAGACATACAGTCAGATAGAACACAGACATACAGTCAGATAGAACACAGACATACAGTCAGATAGAACACAGACAGACAGTCAGATAGAACACAGACAGACAGTCAGAACACAGACATACAGTCAGATAGAACACAGACAGACAGTCAGATAGAACACAGACAGACAGTCAGATAGAACACAGACAGACAGTCAGATAGAACACAGACAGACAGTCAGATAGAACACAGACAGACAGTCAGATAGAACACCGACATAACAGTCAGATAGAACACAGACATACAGTCAGATAGAACACCAGACTACAGTCAGATAGAACACAGACAGACAGTCAGATAGAACACAGACATACAGTCAGATAGAACACAGACAGACAGTCAGATAGAACACAGACAGACAGTCAGATAGAACACAGACAGACCAGTCAGATAGAACACAGACAGACGTCAGATAGAACACAGACATACAGTCAGATAGAACACAGACAGACAGTCAGATAGAACACAGACAGACAGTCAGATAGAACACAGACAGACAGTCAGATAGAACACAGACAGACAGTCAGATAGAACACAGACATACAGTCAGATAGAACACAGACAGACAGTCAGATAGAACACAGACAGACAGTCAGATAGAACACAGACAGACAGACAGTCAGATAGAACACAGACATACAGTCAGATTGAACACAGACAGACAGTCAGATAGAACACAGACATACATACATGCATCCCCCCCCCCCCCCCGCACCCATCCCCCTCACACACACCCCACACACAGACATGCACCCCCCCCCCCCCCCCCCCCCCACAAAAGTAAGTCAGCATACCACACACATATACCTCAGCCAGCGTGTTGCCATGCGTGCAGACGACTATTCTGCCTCAGTTTAATCTATGGTTTAATTAATTAACAGTAATTGTTTGGATGCAACCCAAACCTGTTGTTTTCCATCATTAAATCTTTGTTTAAATCTGTCTCTGTGTGGTGGGGGTGGGGGGGTATGCAGTGTGTATATGTGTGTGTGTGTGTGTGTATATGTGTGTGTGTGTTTTGTTCTGCCTTCATCTGGCTTCCAGCTGGAAACTCAGCATTAATCCCTTAAAGAGGGGAGCTTCTAACTTGTAACTTCATACAGATAGGATCAACCTGGCAACCTACCTGGCAGACAAGCAGTAAATAAACCTGAAAAATACTCAACTGCATGCTTGGCTGGCTGTTGGCAGGTTAGCTTTACTTCAGTTAATCAATCAATCAAATTTGATTTGTTTAGCACTTTTTACAAATGCGTTTGTCATAACGTGCTTAGCCCACAGCAACCCAGGCCTAAATCCCTCATAGAGCTTGCAGAGGCAATATGAAGGAAATAAACACAGGTAGACTGATATACCTCTTATCTCAAACCTCTTCATCTCAGAGAATCACACAGACAGTCCTCTCTGTGTCCCCTGGCCTTCCCTGTTAATACAGACCTGTCAGCTGTTAATACAGAGATATACTACAATACTAGAAGAAACACTACACAATGCTCGATCATCCATCTCTTCCTCTCCTTCCCTCCTCCCCCTCCTCTCTAAGATATATCCTTTCCTCTCCCCCCTCTTCTCTAAGATCTATCCTTTCCTCTCCCCCCTCTTCTCTAAGATCTATCCTTTCCTCTCCCCCCTCTTCTCTAAGATCTATCCTTTCCTCTCCTCCTTCACCTTCTCTTTATATGTCGATTCCTCTCCTCCCCTCTCTCTATGGTCTTCACTTTCCTCTCTCCCTCTCTCTCCCCCTTTCTTCGTGATCTGTCCATTCCTCTCTTCCTCTCCTCCCCCTTCATAATTAAATTAACAGGAGTCCTGCCTCTCTGTTCTTCCATCCAGAGGATCGTTTTTTCCTAAAGCCAGGCTTTTCCCAGAGCTGGGTTTTCCACTCTGGGAGTTTTCCATTACCGGAATCTAATCAGGGTTCTAATGAAGAGTTATGATAATGGTTTTCCTGAAGTACTGAAGTGGGTTGCTCTCTGTTTCTGTCTGTCTGTCGTTGTGTGTGTGTGTGTGTGTGTGTGTGTTTGTGTGTGGTGGGGTGGGAGTAGGTAGGAAAGGAGCGAGGGAGAGGGAAAGAGAAGGAAGAACAGGGCTAGACTGAGGAAAGCGATAGAGGGACAGCACAGAAATAGGAGTTTAGTGTTTGAATTTGTTTGTTATGAGTATTTTTCTGGTCCGTCTTCCAAGACCTTCCCCCCTTCTCACGTATCTCTCTGCCCCCTCAGTGTGCTCCTGCACTGGGAAGGATGATGAGCAGAGGCCTGGTCCACGACCACAATACTTCCAGACCTTCAAACAGGCCCCCAGAGAGCACCGTGTCCAGCCCCAGACGATGTACTCGCCCCCTGGCCCGCAGAAGACCCCTAACCCGCTCCTCCATCCACTCCCCCTCACACCTCCACTACAGACAGAGAAGCGTAAGACATGTTATGATACTCTGTCAAACCACGTTTGTGTGTGTTTGTGTGTGTGTGGTGTGTGTGTGTGAAAAGGTGCCGTGTGTGTGTGTGAGTGAGAGTGAAGGAGACAGAGAGGTCTGTGTGTGAGCGTGAGCGTGAGGCAGACGTGTGTGTTTGCGTAGTGCCAGCGGTCACTGATCAGTACCACCAACTCTAGGACTGATTCCAGCTGAACTGGCTGTTTCTTTGGGTGTATGTTTCAGTGCTTGAGAGAGAGAGAGCGCTTTGACTATGTACAAACTCAGTGAGCATAGCCTTGCTATTGAGAAAGGCCGCCGTAGGCAGACCTGGCTCTCAAGAGAAGACAGGCTATGTGCACACTGCCCACAAAATGAGGTGGAAACTGAGCTGCACTTCCTAACCTCCTGCCAAATGTATGACCATATTAGAGACACATATTTCCCTCAGATTACACAGACCCACAAAGAATTCGCAAACAAATCCAATTTTGATAAACTCCCCCTTATCTACTCTGGGTGAAAAACCACAGTGGTGCCATCACAGCACAAGATTTGTGACCTGTTGCCACAAAGAAAAGGGGCAACCAGTGAAGAACAAACACCATTGTAAATACAACCCATATTTGATGTTTATTATTTTTCCCATTTGTACTTTAACTATTTGCACATTGTTACCAACACGGTATATATACATAATATGACATTTGAATGTCTTTAGTCTTTTGGAACTTTTGTGAGTGTAATGTTTTACTGTTAATTTGTTATTGTTTTATTTCACTTATGTTTCTATCTATTCCACTTGCTTTGGCAAGTAAAACATATGTTTCCCATGCCAATAAATACCCATTGAATTGAGAGAAGAGAGAGAGATAGAAGAGAGAGAGAGAGATGGAGAGAGAAGAAGAGGGGAGAGAGAGATAGAGAGAGAAGAAAAGAAGAGAAGAGAGAGAGAGGAGATCATATCGTAGAAGGGGGAAATTTTCTCTCCGCTACTCCTTCTCTTCGGTTTTTTTGGTGTTTCTCGCCTATTTTCCCCCCCTCCCTCCTGGAGGACCTTCTCTTCAAACTAAACATGTCAGGGGGCGAGGAAGCTCTCCTACCGGGGCCTGCTCTGATCGTTTTGTGTGTGGTTACACGTTTTACTATACCGAAATCTTCACAAAAAATAGTAAACCAAATTAAAATAAAATAGGACATTTAGCTGGTTCTTACCCTTTTAAAAAGGGCTTTTATTTTTAGGTTTTAGGGGTTTTTGGGGGGTTGGGTTTAAGGGTTTTTTTGGGTGGGTTTGGGTTAAGGAAGGGAAAAAGGGGGGTTATGGAAAAAAGGATTTTGAAATGGGAACGGGGTTAAAAAGTCCAAACAAGTTTTAAGAAAATACCGGGGGGGGATTTAAAAAAGGTCCAAAAATTAACAAAAAGGAGGAGAGGTGGTATCAAAAACAGTCCCGGGGGGAGAGGTGGTTAATCAAGCTAGATCCCGGGGAGGAGCAGGAGGTTATAAAGGCGTAATGGGAAAACAGGATGGTTAATAAAATCAATAAAATTGTTTTTGCCACATGCCCCCAAAAAAACAGGTGCAGACTTAAGTGAATGATACTTCACCCCTTAACCAAAAAGCTTATTTTTTAAAAAAAATTAAAATAAAAAAACAAATTAAAAAAGTGTGAAAAAAAAACCCGCGGTAAAAAAAAATAAAGAGGGGGTTAATTTTCGGGGGGGGGGCCCGATGCAGAGTGAATAGGGGGCCGGCTGGGGGGTATTTGGGTTATATGTACAGGGGTAGAGTTAAAAGTGACTAGAAAATATTAACAGAGTAGCAGCGGTAAAAAAATGGGGGGGGGGGGGGGAAAGGGAAGTGGGGCGTAATGGGTTTTTCCCCCTTTTGGGTCCCTTTTCTTTGGGGGGGGGGAAAAAAGGTAAAAAACCCGGGGGGGGGGGGTTTTCCCCCCTTTTAATGTAGTAGGGGAGGACAGGATTTAAATGGGACAGATGCGGGAAAAAAGGGTGGTATAACAACCTGTTTTTTGGATAAAAGGCCATACAGGAAGATATCAGCCAACCAAAGCATTTTTAAAAAATAAAAAACAAATTAAAAAGTTGAGAAAAAAGGGTAAAACACGGGAGGGGGTAATCAAGGGGTCCGAGAGGGAAGGGGGCCGCTAGAGAGGGGTTATTCAGGGGTAGAGAAAGGATGTAAACATAAGAGAGAGGGGTTTAAAGGGTGGGGGCAGGGGAATCTACCAATTATGCAGGACATCGGGGCAAGGGGTTTACCCCTTTTCCCAGATTTGGGTCTCCTAGCTGCCTTCAGTGAGAAGAGAGAGAAAGTACAGGAGGGAGGTTAATCAGCCGGAGAGGGAAAGGATGGTAATCGCCCGGAATGGGAGAAGAGGAGAGTAATCAAGGACAGATAACGAGAGGAGAGGAAGTAACAAGCCAGAGGGACGCACACAACTACAGCGCACCAGACCGGGCAAGAGCGAGGATGTAGCTGGCTTCGTTGAGGTGGTACTTTTTATACCTGGCGGTGCCTTGAGCAAGGCTGGGCCCGCCTTTCTCTCTCGGGTTAGGGGCAGGGGGGGGGGCGGCGGGGCCGCCGGGGAAAGGGGGGGGGGGCCGGGGGAGCGGGGGGCGAGGGGGCCGCGGAGGGGCGGCGGAGGGGGGCAGGCGGCTGGCGTGCTGCCGGGCGGGGGGGCGCGCAGGCCGGGGCTCTCCTCCAGTTCTCTCCCCATTCTCTTCTCTTCCCCCTCTTCTCTCTCTTTTTAATCCTCTCTATCTCTCCCCGATCTCTCTACTCATACTTCTACTTCGTCTCCCTCTCTTCTCTCTCTGCCCCTCTCTTCTCTCTCTCCTTTCTCTCTCCCCTCCAAATCAATTCCATTCAAAAGGGCTTTATGTCCAGGGGTTTCCTGTGCCTGTAAAAACATGAAAGGGGGAGTCTAAAGAGGAAGAGGGAAACATCAAATGGCACCCTGTCCCTATATAGTGCACACTTAGGACCTGGTCAAAAGTAGTGAATATATATGGGGGAATAGGGGGTGGGGACAAAATCCAGAAACGGGCAGAGAGCGTGTTACAGAACATCACACAAGCCAAGGTTGTTTACTTTAGCTTTCTTCCTGCGACAGGATGGTGTGTTGTGGGTGTTGTTGTGTTGTTGGGTGTGTGTGTGTGGTGCGGGGTGGTGTTTGTGGTTTTGGTGGGGTGGTGTGTGTGTGTGTGGCGGGGTTGGTGTGTGTGGTGTGTGCGTGGCGTGTGTTTTTTGTGGGGGGTGTGTGTGTTGCAAGCCGGGTTGTGGGTTCGATTCTCACGGGGGGCGTTTTGGGAAAAATAAAAAATTGTATGCCTCACTAATGTATTTCGCTCGGGGAAGAGGTTGCTAAAGTTACCTTAATGTAAATGTGTGTGTTGTGTGGGTTTTTGTGTGGGTGGGGTGTTTGGTGTGTTGTGTGTTGTGTGCGTGTGTTTGTTGTGTGGGGGGTGTGTGTGGTGTTGTGTGTGCATGTGGTGTGTGTGTGTCAGAGGAGGGGGTGTAGGGTGCTAGGGTGTGGGATCGTAAATTTTCCCCCCCGCACCATGACACACAACAGCTGTGTAAACCACACAAACACATAGACAACCCCACACACCAAACACCCACATGCACACGCATCCATGCACACACACACACACAAAAATGCAGTTTTTTCCAGGGTATAAACACAGGATCTTAAATAAGGTTAAGTAAATCTAGCAGGGACTCTCAGTCACGGGGAAATAGGTGTGACTCCTCACTATATAAAGTAGGGTGGTTCTGCTGTCTCTCTCTTCTCTCTCTCTGTCTCTCTCTCGGTCTCTCTCTCTCTGGCTCTCGTCTCTCTCTCTCTCTCTCTCTCTCTCTCGCCTCTGGGAACTCACTCACCCTCACCACCACTCACTGCACCTCACCCCTCTCCATCTCGCACACACACCACACACACACAACACAAAACACACACCAACACACACACACAAAAACACCCCAAAACACACACACACACACACACACACACACACACACACACACACACACACACACAGCCCTTCCAAGAGCAAACCCTCCAGTATTTCTCCAGTTTCAGGGATAACCCCAAATGAAGCCAGTAATAGGGGTTAGTTGGTGACTATGGGTCACACTTAATATGTGTGAAAAACTGTTATGAATGTATTGTAATGTTTTTAAATGTATAACTGTCTTTAATGTTGCTGGACCCCAGGAAGAGTTAGGCCTGCCTTGGCAGGAACTAATGGGGATCCATAATAAAACCCCGGAAAGAGTAGCGCTGCCTTGGCAGGAACATAATGGGGATCCATAATAACCCCAGGAAGAGAGCCGTGCCTTGGGCAGGAACTAATGGGGATCCATAATAACCCCAGGAAGAGTAGCCGCTGCCTTGGCAGGAACTAATGGGGATCCATTTAAAAAACCCCGGAGGTAGCCGCTGCCTTGGCAGGAATAAGGGGGATCCATAATAAACCCAGGAAGAGTAGCCGCTGCCTTTGGGAGGAAACTAAAAGGGGATCCCATAATAAACCCCCGGAAGAGTAGCCGCTGCCTTGACAGGAACTAATGGGGATCCATAATAAACCCCAGGAAAGTAGCCGCTGCCTTGGCAGGAACTAATGGGGATCCATTAATAAACCCCAGGAAGAGTAGCCGCTGCCTTGGCAGGAACTAATGGGGATCCATAATAAACCCCGGAGGTAGCGTGCCTTGACAAACTAAGGGGCCCATAAACCCCGGGAAAGGTAGCCGCCCCTTGGCAGGAACAAAATGGGGACCCATAAAACCCGGGGAAAGATAGCCGTGCCTTGGCAAAACAAGGGGGGACAAAAAAACCCCGGGAAGATCCCGCTGCCTTGGCAGGAACTAATGGGGACCATAAAACCCCCGGGAAAAGGGTACCCTCCCTTGGGGGAATAATGGGATCCTATAAACCGGGAGAGTAGCCGCTGCCTTGGGGACAAAATGGGGAAT